GGGGGGCGCGGTCCCGCTGGGTGCGTGCCCGCCCTCCAGGGCAGACGGGGCAGAGGGAAGCCTGGCCCCCCCAGTGTGCGTCTGCTCCCCAGCAGCGGGTCTGCAGCACGCTGATAACCCCACTGGCCAGGGCGTGGCGGGCTGGGGAGGGCCCGGGCAGCTCGCGTGCCAGCCCGGTGACTTCCCTGGGTGGACGGAGCCCTGCGTCGCCATCCTTCCTGGGGCGTCCCGGGGGCCCCGGTGTTGGGAGGAGAGCCCAAGGAACACATGCCCCTGGCCGCGTCCCCGTGCCCGGAACTCCAGGCCGTCCCCGGGCACCTGCGCCCCAAGGTGCGCACGAGCCTCTACCCCCCGCTGGGGTTCTGTGGGCTTGGCCGCGCCGCCCCACCCCTCAGCCTGGGGCTGTGGCTCCCCAGTGTGTGTGTGCTGGGTGTTGGGGCTGCAGTGTCGGCCTCCCGTGGCCCAGCCCTGGCCGTGACGAGCCCCCTCCCTCTGGGAGCCTCCCGGGCTCCCCGACTGTGCGGCCCGGCGGTTCGGCATTTGCCGCCTCCCCCGAGGGTGGTGCGGGCATTGTGTGTCCCAGCTGGCGGGAGGCAGAAGCTGAGTCTTGAGCTCTTTCCAGATCTTTCCTCGATGGCTGTAGCCTGGGGGGTTCCGTCCCTGTGGAATCAGACTCCCTGCAACTAGGGATTGTGCCCCTTGCGGAGGCGGGCGGGTGAGCGCCTCGCTCCCCTCTGCCCTCGGGTCCTTCCACACCAGTCCCGAGGGTCCGCACCCCGTCTGGGTCCCCAGTGTCCGCACCCCGTCTGGGCTGTCCCCCCCCCAGCTGGCTTGTCTGTGTCCCCCAGTAAACGGCAGCCTCCCGGGACCCTCTGTCCCCCAGTGGTCAGGATGGACCCTGAGCAGGGATGGACTGTCCTGAAGGAACACAGAGCAGATGGGGCAAAGTCCCCCAAACTGGGCGTCTGGGGCAGGGGTGTGAAGAGTGGGTGCCAGGCGCTCCCACCCTCTTATCTGGGTGGGCCAGGTGTTCTGTCAGCCCCACCCGCACCCTCCCAGCCCGGGAGGGCCAGGCTGGCTCCCTGCCTGCTCCTTGCCTACGCGCTTTGGGTGGCCCTGTCGCCCGGTGGGTGCCTCCCAGAAGGTGGGGTTACCGGCAGGCTCCCGCCGCCGGGGCCGAGAGCCTCTTCAGGAGCGTGGGCGCAGCCGTTAGCACATTCTGCACGTGGGTAATCCCCAGGCCGGGCTGCTGACTGGCTGCCTGACTGCCTGGGGTCCTGTGAGGGGCTCGAGGCCCGTCCTGGGGCCAGGCCAGGCCGGGCAGCCCCCACCCCACGGCCTCGCCTGCCCGGAAGCCCGCGGGTCCCAACCAGGCTGTTGGGGAGCTGCGCAGCCTGGGCCTGGGGCTCCTCCAGGCCCAGCGCCAGTCGTCCACTCCGGGGCCACAGCGTCCCTGGGTGGGCGGAGGGAGCTGCAGAAGCTGACCGTGGAAAGGGAGCCGTGTGGCGCGGAGGCGCCGGGGGCCCGGGCCAGAGCCGAGAGTGGAGCCCGACACTTGCGACTCCGTCTGGGCTCCGAGGACGCCTGGGGCCGCGCTCTCCCCAGCGGCCTGCTGCGTCCAGGGCGGGGCCTGGGGCCTGCTCTTCCCTCGCTCGGCCTGGGCCTGGGCCTGCGAGGCCGCCCTGCGGCTCCCCCGCACGCTGCCCGCCCCCCCCTTGCCCTCGCCCTCCACACCGCGCTGGGGGCCCTCGTGGGCTCCCGACCCCGTGACTCTCTGGAGACCGGGGAGGCCCGGCCGGCCACTTTCTCCCTGCCCCCGGCTGGCCTGGCGGCGGCAGCCACCCCGCTAATCGCGACTGTGTGAGGGTCTGTGCGGGCTCGTGTGCTTCTTATGACTCCAAGAGTGAAAAGCTTTTCTGGTTGTTTTCAGCACACGCCAAAGAAGATGAGTCAAGGACCGACACTTTTCTCTTGTGGAATTATGGGTGAGTAACCGGCGGCACGCGCCGTCCTTCCGCAGCCGTTTCTCCGGACCCGTCCCGCAGGGGGCCCCGGAAGCACCCCGTGGACCCACGACCCTCCCGCGCGGGCCCCAGGCGCCACTGGCGTGCGGCTGACGAAGGCCACACCCAGCGAGAGCTGGGGCGTTTCCGTCCGATTATTAAATGGTCGTCGTGTTCGTGGGGTTTCTTGTTTTTTTCTTTTTTTGCTTACTGGGGTTCCGGCCAGAGGCGCAGGGGCGGCGAGAGGCTTCGCCAGAGACAGCGGGGAGCAGAGCAGGCGGATGGATGAAGCCCACTGCTGAGGGAGCAGCGGGCGGTCAGGAGAGGCCTGCCGTGCCCTGGGGGTCACTCCTGGGCGATCGAGCTCGCACTGAGGCGGCTGCGCGTCAGCCGGCTGCGCCCCCAGGGCGGGCCGCGTCCCTGTGTTTGAGTAAGGAAATGCACCCCAGTAGAAAGCACAACCTGTCGTCGCCCCAGCACCGATGATGCCCGCTGTTAGATTTCGGGGCATCC